TTTTTAAAGCTAGAAAATGTGAATTATCCACAGATGAGACAGAATGAATTTATATTCAGGTAACAAAGATGAAGTCTACTAGAGTTGACTAATGCTCATAGGTAAGGTACTAAAATGATTCACTAAAAAATCTTCAAACTGAGTCATTTTTGACATATAAAAGACCTCTGGATGTGGCAAGATAGAGATTTAAACAGAATCTCACATTGCAGAAATATAATTTGAGTAAAAACCCAAGTTAAAAATAATGGCTATTAAGGGAACAACTGATAATTAGGATTTTGGTTTAAAGATGCTATTTCTGTAAAACTGTTTAATGTCCTTACTCTTTATATACAAATGTGTCTGTCTGAAGAAACTCCACTAGAATTTGCCAGTAAATCTTGCTCTTAAAAGTTGGGTAAATATCTAATTAACATAATATACCTGTAATACTGATCAAATCATTCTTAATTATTTTTGTGGCCTTGGAGAGATCTTACTATATACAATTTTAGTAAATGTAAAAAGACATTGAATAAAACTGCTGGAATGAGTCCAATTCCAGGTTGGGGCAAGAATATTATCTCAAACCATCCCAAGATGCCAGTAATGGGTCGGTATATAAAACCTTTAAATAAATAAATAAAATAAAATAAAATCTAGTTATTTTCTAGATTTTACATCTAGAAACAGTCATCCATGCTGTGATCTTTGTTCATGTGTCAAATAACTCATTAGAATATGTGCTCTTATATGCATAAGGACAGCTTCGAATCCAAGTTTGCTAGCATCACACTGATGATCAGGTAGCATATTGTGTATTGAGTAAAGTTTCAATTTTTGTCTTGCACATGGTTCAAATCTTAATGTAGCCATTAAAATTGAGCACTGATCAGAAGGTTGCCAAAACTATTATTACCAATCTGTATTTGAATTGCTTAATTTCTTGTTAGCTATACATCTCATGGAACAGAACATTCTTGTTGATTTTCAGACTTCCCTGGTGCAATGAAAACAGTCCCTGAGCTTGAAATAAGTTGGTTCTGCCTGCTTCCCTGGTTTCTTTAATTAATGAAGACTACCTCAGCCTGCTTTTGACTGAAATGCCTCATTTCTTGTGTAAGGCTAATAGCACGGTCACTTCATTATTCCACTTTTCTTCAGTGGCATCAGCATTAGTCACTATTCTTCCAGCACTTTTTAATGGGTTCTGAGATGGATTTTTTCCAAACTTAAACCATGGCCAACCATGACAGCTTCCATTCTATGCATTATACTGTCCTTTCAAGTAAAATTATTTAAGCAACCATGGACCATTTAATACCCATGCTGGGTTTTTTTTTTCTTTTAAAAGCAAAAACACCCTGAATTGTGCCTGCAATAGGCAGTGCCAAGTCTTTGAAGTTCTTTTTATTCTTTGCTCATGAAAATATTTCATTATCCACAGTGCAACTCTGGATAATTAAAAAGGTCATATTGAAATACTTCTGCCTCTAGTGCAAGGCAGTATGCACTGCAGGAAAATACTAATCTAACTGGCATCTTGATCTCAAACATTTGCGCTAATGTTTCTTCAAGCACTGCTGGCATAACGTTATGCCTTCAAATATTGCATGGATCCTTCCCCCCCCCCCTTCTTACAGAAGCAAATCGAGGGCATTCTGACACACTCGACTAAAGATGCCTTTGAACTACATTTGCACTCTTTGTGCCTCGTATGGTGCCATTATGGGATAGAGAGAAAGCAGAAGAGTAAACTGTTTGTGGCTGGCTAGGGTTTTATTCATGTGACAAACTGAATTGCAAACAGGATGCACTCACGGAAAAAAAAAATGGTCAAACTTTCCTAATAGATCATGGCCTTCCAAATCTTTTCATTATATGGTGATGTCATCTTTACTATGTTGTATGGGAAATCATCTTGGGAAATTCGAACTTCTTAATTTATATCAAGCCTTCTCTAGTGGGCAAACAGGTTAGTAGTTTGAAGCATACTGCCAGTAGCCAAAACCTTTGGAAGTTAGTTTAACTTAGCTTCAATAGATGTGAATTAATGATATACTCTTCCTAAACAAAGCCACTAGTCCATTACTGGTGTGTTGGGCCATTCTTCTGATCTATGAAATGTAATTCTTTAGTACTTTGTGTCAGTTATGAAGTTTGTCTTTCAAAGAAATGGTGTAATTAGAACCTGTAATTTTACCTACCTAAACTAAGGTCAGTCTGAACTCAAGCAGTTACTGGATGATAATCGGAGTGACTTTATGTAGGATTGTCTGTTTTATTTCTCTCTCTTTCTCCATGCTTTAAAAACAAACACTGAATTTGGAGAGATAATTTGCTGGGCACATGAGTCTTTCCTGAAATTTCATTCATTCATTCATTATTTGACTTGTATGTCACATGTCTCTCTGGGCGGCTCACAATAGTAGTTAAAATAACAATTATGTTATCTACTCTTTTTCATGAGGCTGGTGAGCAGTGGTTCCCAAGTGCTTTTGCTTTCTATGACCCATACTCCTAGAAAATTTTTGAACCACTTATAGTACTGCAGGGGAATGAATTGGACTTACAAAAGAAAAGCTTTTATCTCAGTGTTTAACATTCAAATATAAATTGAGCAATTAGCAAAAAGTGTAAACAGTAGAATCAATCCCAATTGTGAACATAAAATTCAATGACTTCTTTGTTCCTGCTTCTCATTCCCGATTTCATCAAAATGTGGGACTTTCCTGCTGATTGTGATCCACAAGCCCACCTGTGGAGTCAGGCAATTCCCAGATTTTGTCTTGATTGACAAACAAGAAATGAATCCGAATGCAAACAAAAAATAATAAATAACTCTATCATTGGGATATTTTTTGGCAAATTGTGATGCAGCCTTCTTCTTTGTTTCCCCTCCTGAAATGCCATCGCACACCCCCTGGGTGAGAATGAGAGTGAGAGCTGGACTAGGGAGACCTGGCTTCAAAGAATGAATTAAGCTATGGTCTTCTCACAGGATGACTTTGAACCACCAGTTACATTTCACTTTAACCTACTTCACTGTTGTACCTTGGTCTTACCCAGTTAAACAAATCAACATAATTGTTGATCCCAGGCTAATTTGGTCTTGGTTGACATTCAGCATATGAATTTGGTAGAAGCAACTGCATTTCACTGTAGTGCTCATTATAAAAGGGCACACGGAATGTTACACTGAAAAATAGAGTCAGAACAGCAGAATAAATAAGTACATTCATGAAGTTCTTTGTTGTCATGGTCTCTGTGCATCACACGTGTGGACTTTGCCACATAGTGCAAGGTCTGGATTGGAAATCATATAATCAAAGATCTGCTCGTGAATGTCTTGCTCACCTGGTGTGGAAAAAGGTTGGTTGCTTGAGTCTTGCTGGGAATGGAGCCCCATTTGATCAGTGTGCAAGGTTTATTCGATAAAATTATTCTGACTTGGTGCTTTTACCAAAGGAGGAAAGAAGGGTGGCTATAAGAGCGATGGCCTTTATAGTGATGCATTCTCACCTGTAGAACGTTCTCCTCAGAGTGGTTTGCTTGGTATATACTGTAAATTTTTTCAGTGTCAGATGGAAGACCTTTTTTATTCTTCCAGGCATTTTAATTATTGTTTGGTGTGGCGGTTAGAAAGTTGGACTGTGGACCTGGAAGACCCGAGTTCCAGTCTCCTCTCAGTCTTGAAGCTCACTGGGCGACTTTGGGCCAGTCACTCAAACTCAGTCTAACCTACCTCATAGGGTTGTTGTTGTGAGGGTAAAGTGGAGCTATGTGAGCTGCACTGGACTCCTCACAAGAGGAAAAAGGGTGGGATATAAATACAGCAGAATAATAATACTTGGTTTTACGTGCTAGCATTTTCCTGGCTTTATTATTTTTTGTTTTCTTTGTTAAATTAGAGTGCCATTCAGTGTGGCTGCAGAATGTAAAATTGCTCTAAGTGATTAGAAGCACAGAAACGTAGAAACATAGCAAGTCAGAAGGGGTCTCCTGGGCCACCTAGTTTGACCCCCAGCTCAAGCCAGCTCTGCTCATAGAATGTCCAGCATGTGCGTGTCCAAAAAAATTAGATAAGTTGGTTTTGTAAGTGGGAATGGTTTTGATCTGGTCATAATCATTCTTGTTTAATTTCTGAGTTTTAATATTCTTGAACTAGTGTAGGATTTAATGACAAATTTACATTCCATTGTGAGTAGACAGGTTAGGGAAAAAATATGTCCGGCTATATTCGTTTGATCTGCTGTATGTAGAACTCTGTCTGAAACCGTTTCTGGTTGCATTTCCAAATGCATTGAGTGTGAAGATCTTTGAAACCGGAAACTCTTATGGCCACAAGTTCCTGCAGGCAGATCTTTACAGAGCTTGTTTTCACCTGTTTCGTTTATCTTGCAACAGTTTGGCTTCCCTGATATGACTTTGCAGACAGTGCTTTGACCTCAGGGAGGGGAACTGGAGAGCCATGTGCCTCTCCTCTTTCCTTTGCTGCCAGCATGGAGAGAGCTGCACTGCCTTCCCTCTGAGGTCAGCAGGGGAAAGAGAGGGATTTTAGGAAGGGAAAGAAGGATGCTAGAGAGGCCAGAATATGAGCTACCCTGATGCCTTCTCAGCCCCACCTGCAACACCCTTCCTGGATAGGAAAAGCCCACCTAGTAAAACATGTAAGGAGGAAGGGGAGGGAGGTAAATTTCACCTCAGTTGCATCTCCTGCTCTGCACAGAATAAGTGCAAGCCTTTCAGTTTGGGGGTTTGTGATCATCTGTGCATTGGCTTGTGCCCCAAAACATTCATATAGTAATTGAAAACTACTCACAGGATAATAGTCATCTACTGTCAGCCTACAGGTCACTTAAAGATAAGTGCATACAATTTAAAAAGAAGAAAATATGACCAAGGTTGCAAAATAATACTGGGGTTTAGAGGTGGATTGTCTTAAAGCAAAGGGATGTTCAGAGTGATCAGATCTAAAAATCTGTAAAATGTCTAATGAGTGCATCTTTTCCCTTTAGGATAATGAAGTCCTCTTTACATGCGGAGGAGGATGATTTTGTGCCAGAGCTTCAGAGAAGCATCCATCCCCGTGAAAGACCAGACTGGGAAGAGACGCTGAATGCAATGGTATGGCGGCACGGTCTTCTGCGTGTGATCGCTTGTAGTCCCTTAAACTGTTGATAGAGTTTGATTTGTTACTTTTTTTCTGGACTGCTATGTTGATTCCTTCATAGGCTTGAGGAGTGTGGAAAAGTATTATTTGGATGTGTATCAGAAGAGTGGAGGAGTTGCCTGGTCCCCTGAATATATGCCCTGGAGCATGGCTAGTGCTAATTTAAATGCTCCATAATATTAAGGGATTGTCTATCTGCATTAACCTCTCTTTCAGCTAGGATCCGGAATGTGTGAAATCTCTCTCGGTCCCCAGTGGAAAACAACAAACAACAAAGAACATTAATCTAATATTAATCAGATCTAATATTAATTCAGCCCTGGAACAATTTCTACTTTGTATGTCTAATTTTACGATCAGTACTGGAATAACAAGAGAAGTAAAGATCTTGTAATTCATTTTTATACCTTTACTTGGCTTCTATTCTGTCCAAAAGTGGAAAATGAGAAGAGCGCTGACAATGCTTAGCATTACTGTTCCCTGTAGGAGTAGCTGCAGTAGCTTTCCCCTTGAATTCAATGGCAAAAGACCTGACCTTCCAACTGCCGAAGTAGGATCTGCTCACAAAAGGGTACTTCTATTCTATTTCTGTAGATAGGCCTTCGGTTGCACATAATTCTCCTGCTTACTGCGGAATCCCTATGGGTTTACCTGACTATGTGTTAAAAATGCTTACCTGTGCTAAATTTAGAAATGCAACTTGGAGGAGATAATGTGACCTCATGTTGATATATCCCTAAATTAGTAAATGTAAAGATGCAAATACGCTTGTTAACCACATTGTGGATTGCCAGACTAAGACCAAGGGACCTTGGGCAAACCATTCTGTCTTATGCAAAACCTAGAGTATGAGTTACTGCATCTGGTTAAATGCCCACGGAATTTTATTCTGTAATAAATGTATCAAGCTGCCCCAGGACAGTGTCAGATTGTGCTTGTTTGTGGTCTCTGTGCATCCCACATACCGGCTCTATGCCTGTATTGAGCGTGTCGTAGGGAAGCCTCTATAGCCAAGTGTGTAATTGGATGCAAGCCCCTTTTGTTCTTTGGAAGACAAGAACATGTGCTGCTGTATTTCTGTGGTTCAGTTAAAGCCTTACCTTTGATGCACACCTTGTGAACACGCGGGACACATTTATTTACTATGGTAGTGCCGATGTATAGGGAAATGGGAAAGTAGAGAATTATTAGTTTGCCTCTTTCCCATGGTCCTTAATAACACACATGAAAGTGAACCACACTGCAGAGTTTGTCATACTCCTAAGTATGGTTTTGTAGTTAAAATCTTAAGGTTGTGAACCGCTGCAGAAGATGTGAGAAAACTAGTGACACTTTTCTGTCCTGTTCCCTTTTTACTGCTTTAGACAGAAATACTTCTCCAAGTGCCATTCGAATAAGAGATAAATTATGTTATGAAGCAGGAAAGGGAGGCTGTGACTTTGTTTCGCAGGGATAAGAGCACTTGTTGAGAGGCAGTCCAGATGAAGCACCATTATTCAGTTCTACTTGAGTTAGAAACAGAAAGCAAGCAGAACATTTTGCATTTGAAATCATGTTTGCTAAAGCTACTGAAAGAGCAGACATCTGTGCAAGTCATTTAGGGGTAAAAAGGTAACTGGAATGCATTGTATATGCTTTGTCTTTAGATTGGTTCAGATTTATTCCAATAGTTCTGGACCATTCAACTAATGAATTTGAACCTTAGTTTAATTCTGTAAATGGAAAATTAATATTGGCACAGGTGATCTGCATGCACTGCATTATGATGAATTAGTATTTCAGATATTGGTGGCTAGGCTGTACTTGCCAAGTGCCAGCAATGTGTACAGTGGCAGAAGTCCACTTTTATGTCATGTACTGTTTGTGCTTCGTGAATCAGAGAACTCAAAAAGATGAAAGTGTTGTAGAAGGAAATGTTTCTTCCTTCCATTTCAGTTTAATTGTCGAACATGGGAATTGCCTTGCTGAATCAGACCACAGTGAGCTTGTTAAGATGCGCTAAATAAACAGAGATTTGAATTATCTTGTACAAGGATATTACATGCATACACAGATTTGCACTTCATGAGCAATCTAATCAGGAAATGGGTAATTAACGCATGTAATATCCTGGGTAACTGGTCATGGTTGGTTGCTGAGTTATCTGAACTCAGAGCATTTATCACAGGACAGCATCATGGGAGACAACAAGCCACTTTGGCAACCCGTGGCTTGTTTTAGATATTGTTGAAACCGTGAAAGGTTGTCTTGTTATCCAAATCAGGCAGAAAGTACCATTTTGAAGAACATTGGCTGCTCTTGGGGAGCTCACCCATGCCAGCACCAGTGACAGAGGCTCTGCTGATGCTGGAATGGGTATTTGGAGTGGCTTTTGCTGGCTTGTTACCCCTTGGGGTAATTTCGCAATTGCATTTTTTCCCTGGTCTTCCACAGGTGTGCAGGTATGAGTCGAGGAGGGACTGAAATGCTGAGGCCTGCCTGGTCAGTGTCCATTTGTGTGCCTGCTGAAAAAGGGCAGTACGCAGCTGCCATGGATACTGAGCAAGTGAGGCTGCGTGTAGGCTGTTTGGTGCACACCTGGCAGGTACCTGGCAGGTACCAATGGGTGATCTGTGGTTGAAAAGCAAAACAGTAAAGGTGTTCTATTCCTGAAAGGGGAGATGAGTACAGCTCCCACTTTAGGTGTGATGCCTTAGCTTTTTTTAGTTTTTCCTGACTTGTTTTCAGTCCCCAATATTGGACTCAGAGGCAGAGTCTCCTTCCGCTTGGAAGGATGGACTGGCAACTGTTTTCCCCAAGGGCCTGTTCTCCTCCTGGACTTCTGAGATGGTTTGTTCTGGACTGCTTTTTTTCTCTGAGAGCAATAGCTCCTCCCTGAGATGCTGCTGCATTGGCATGTTTTATTTTTATTTATTTATTTATTTTTCGATTTATATCCTGCCTTTTTCCTACAAAGGGCTCAAGGCAGCTTACATCATACTCCTCCTCCATCTTATCCCCACAACAACAACCCTGTGAGGTAGGCTGGGCTGAGAGTCTGTGACTGGCCCAAAGTCACCCAGTTGGCTCCATGGCCAATCGGGGACTAGAACCCAGATCATCTGAATCCCAGTCCCATGCTTTTAACCACGACACCACACTGGCTCTCTATGTTTTGAACTGCTTTGAGGTTTAATAGAAAGGGATATCCATGGCAGTTTTCTGGAATATACAAATTCACAGAGTAAAATATTCCAAGGTCGTGAATTAAGACAGGTGTTCCTGGTATCCCTGTCAAGTACAAATGAAAAGCTTGAGATAAAGAAATCTGAGATGAGTCATTATCAAAGGCATCAGACTAAGGAAGCCCTTTAACTCTACAGGGCATAAATTAGTTTGCTGTTCTTGTCCCACACTGCTCTTGCGTTTCATCAAATACAACATGATCTAATATGCTATCACTCGTAAGTTGGAAGGAATCATTGCTTTTTCCATATTGACGTTCTTCCCCATAGAGTTTCCAGTGTTACACAGAGAGCACTTTCTAAGTACCAAAAATAACTAGAATTCCAATCCTGTCAGTGACTGACAGTAGCCTATTCAGTGATGGGTGGCAGGATTCATTCAATGCAAACTAATTACAATTCTGCTGATAAGCTACAACAAAACAAACAGAAAACCTCACCCCCACCTCCCACCCCTCAAAAAGACCACAACAGACCCAGATAACTTTGATCACTGCAGACTGTACTGAAGTGGAGTATCTCCGAAACAGTTCTGTTCTAAACATACTCACTGATAAAGAGTTCTGATTTGTCTTTGACTATAAGTTCAAAGAAATTTCCATTCCTAATGATATCATAAATCACATATCTTTTGCATTTGTTTGACATTTAATGTCTATTTTACTTGTCATTTAACTTTCCCTTTACAACCATCTGTATATAAACTTTCCAGCTGAGAATAACAGTTCATACAACTGATGAAATGAACTCTAGTCCGTGAAAGCTTATGCCATAGTAAAAGTGTCGTTGTTTAAAGTGATACAAGTCTTGTATTGTTTGTCGCAAAGACTTGCAACAAAGTCTTGATGGTACACCACCCAGAGAGTCCCACATAGGACGATTACTGTGATTTATAAATTCACTAATTTATAATTAAATACATAAATAAAGATTTCTGTAGTTATCCCTGTTGAAACTATCCTAGCCAGTGAACATTAAGATGAGGGTTAGAAATGGAACGTTCTTGTCAAATGGAGAGGCACTGCCCTGTAAAACACGCAGCGGTGATGCAGAATAGGAGAGGTAGCACTTTTAAAAGATGGATTTGTGCACAGTAATTAAGATCTTGCTTGAGCAGCTGTCAAATTTTGCCATCACTAGGCTACCTAAAAATAAAATCATGTTTGCAGAGGGTTTTTATTTCCCTCCCAAATGAGACTCGCAATTGACATCTTGTGACAGCTCATGCAAAGCTAGTGTTTAACTTAAAAAAAAAAAAACTTTATTTTTTTTCCTCCGTGCAAGGCAATGCCTTGTATACATCTGAACTAGTGAAGGATCAAGCTTTTCTGCAGGTTTTTTTTAACCCTTTCCCTCTAAAAATCATGTATTCAGCAAATGGGTATGGCAAGTCATGGTTTCCCTTATGCTTTTGCCAGTGTTGGCAAGACACCCAACTTTCACCAATATTTCTCATTTCTTATCGAGGCCAGTTTGATACAAAAAAAAAAAATGCTATTGTATGATCTTTCTGCATGATGGTGTAAATCTTGTAGGATAGAGCCTGTTGGCATTTTAAAAATGTATTATTGCTAAAGCTTAGGAAATTCAAAATGCAATAAAAGGACAGATACCCAAAGCCAACACAGGACAGCTTTGCGGAAGTTGATTAAAATACTGAAAGTAGAGTAAAAGTCATAGAACCTTGCTTTTATGTAGGGGTTAAGAGAAGGCAGGGAAGCTCCCACATT